GCGTTGTCGGATCGATTGACGTCAGCTTCCGCCCGGCCCGTAACAGTATCACTTTTCCCTCCCCAGTTCTGCTTAACGTGCTGGTGATAAAGGCCCTGAAAGGAAGTCTTCGACTCCGAACCTACAACAACATCTTGCTGGCCTGTTTAGCGATGACTGATGTATCAACTGGTCTTTTTGGCCAGCCATCGTATGTCCTGTGGAGGATATTCCTTATGTTTCGTCTCTGCAGCGGTGACATGGTTGAAAATTTCCATCTCCATGTTATGACTATATTTGCGAATGCTTCATGTCTTCATTTAACGATGGTTACTTTCGACTTAATAGTCGCCTCATAAAGGCCAGGCTGAAAGGAAAGCAAAATTACTTGACCCTGATTCAATGTTACGCTCCGACCAATGATAATGAAGATGATCTGAAAGACAATTTCTATCTCAGGCTCCAGGCAGAGATTGAGCAGGTCCCAATGCAAGATCTTATTATCATCATGGGGGATCTAAATGCCAAAGTTGGTGCCGATAACTCAGGCAGTGACAGAGTGATGGGAAGAGACAGGAGTGGCATCATCAATGAAAATGGAGAAAGGCTTGTTGAGTTTTGCACAAGCTATAATCTGGTGATAGGGGGCACCCTTTTTCCACACCGAGAGATCCATAAAATCACATGGTGTTCACCGAATGGCAGGGATAGAAATCAAATTGACAATCTGTTGATCAATGGGAAATTGCGGAGATCCCTTCGGGATGTTAAGGTGAGGCGAGGAGCTGACATTGGAAGTGACCATCATCTTGTAACAGCCTGCCTTAAACTGAAATTAAAGAGTGCAGGGCGTCTAACCAAGGGGCGCAGCCGTTTTGATGTGAGCCAACTGAAACACCCAAATGTGCGAAAATCTTTTATCCTGGAGGTGCGCAACAGATTCGAGGCTCTTGTGGAACTGGACGGAAGGGAGGATATTACCGATGAAGGGGTGAACAAGAACTGGGAGAAAATTGTTACTGCTTACAATGATAGCCGCAAGACATGTCTAGGCTGCAGGCAGCGGAGACCAAAGGAATGGATGTCATCTGATACCTGGAAAGCAATTGAAAGTAGACGGAGATTGAAGAAGAAAGTTATGGACTCCAAATCCCAACGGCTTAAAGAAAGACATCGAGAGATGTGTCGGGCAGCGAACAAAGAGGTGAAACGCCGAACAAGAGCAGATAAATGGAAGTACATAGAGAACCTTGCATCCCAGGCGGAGGAGGCAGCTGCACTAAATGAGCAAGGAACAGTATATAAGGTCACCAAGATCATAACAAGTAAATGCCATACAACCAACGTGCTTGTAGAGGTCAAGAGCGGTATCTTATTAACACCAGAGGGAGGGCAGCAACGGCGCTGGACGGAGCACTTTAGAGAGCTTTTAAACAGACAGCCACCAACAGTAGTGCCAAACATCCAGGAAGCCGCAACCGACTTTGACATCAGCACAGACGTTCCAACTAGGAGGGAAATCATCCAAGCCATTAATTCCTTGAAGAATGGAAAAGCTCCTGGCCATGATAATCTAAATGCCGAGCTGTTTAAAGCAGACCCAGAGCTTGCTGCAACCATTCTGACCCCCTTGTTTACAAAGATCTGGGAGCTGAAAGAAATTCCGACAGATTGGAGCAGAGGAGTGATAATCAAGATACCAAAGAAAGGGTCTCTAAGTGATTGTAACAACTGGCGAGGAATTACCCTTTTGTCTGTGCCAAGTAAAAGCTTTTGCAAGGTCATTATACAGCGCATCACCCAAGCTGTTGATGACCTACTGCGGAACGAGCAATCTGGATTTCGCAAGGGACGTGGATGTACGGATAACATTTTCACACTGCGGAACATACTTAAGCAATGTACTGACTGGAACAGGGAGTTGTATGTAAATTTCATCGACCATGAGAAAGCGTTTGACAGCATTCACAGGGACAGTCTTTGGCAGATTCTGAGAGCATATGGCATTCCACAACGCATTATTAATATCATCAAATGCTTCTACTCAAATTTCACATGTTGCATCGGTCAGGGAGATCTAAGTTTTGAAGTTAAAACCGGTGTACGGCAGGGATGTGTCATGTCATCCATGCTATTCAATATTGCCATCGACTGGGTCCTTTGTCGAACAATGGAAGATCAGCGAAGAGGCATAAGATGGACCCCTTTTACTATACTCGAAGACCTCGACTTCGCATATGATTTAGCCCTATTGTCCCACACACGACAGCACATTCAGGAAAAGACAGACCGGCTCAGCATGTTCAGCAACCAGGTCGGCTTGAAAATTAGCTTGAAGAAGACGGAGGCCATGTGTGTTAATGTCCCTTCCCCAACAAAGATCAGGGTAAGAGGAAAGGACATTCCATACACCAACAAGTTCACATACCTCGGAAGTGTGCTCTGCCAAGATGGGGGTACTAGTGTACGTATACAAAGCAGATTGAACAAAGCAAGAAATGCCTTTATGAGCTTAAGATCAGTGTGGAGGTCAGCAAGCTACAGCACAAAGACGAAGCTTAGAATCTATCAGAGCTGCGTATTTTCAACTCTCCTTTACGGCTCGGAATGCTGGCGAATGACAGAACAGGATCTCTCAAAACTAGCATCCTTCCACACAGCTAACCTCAGGAAGATTCTGAGAATCTTCTGGCCTCAGAAAATATCAAACGACCAGCTACTGAGGCAAACCAAGCAGGAGGATATTCGTACGCTTGTCAACAGGAGAAGATGGAGGTGGATCGGTCATGTGATGCGGAAGGCCAGTAACAACATAGCCAGAAATGCAATGCACTGAACACCTGAAGGCAAACGAAACAGAGGGCGCCCGAAAACAACTTGGCGCAGGACAGTAGAGAAGAGACTAAGGGGGCTCGATTACAGCTGGAGCACCATTGAAAAACTGGTTAGACAGATAGATAGACAGGGTTGGAAGGATTTCGTTGCTACCCTATGTGCCACACAGGCATTATGGGTAGTAAGTAAGTTACTTTCGATAGGCTCATGCTTTATATAGCAGTTTACACGTACGGACTTATGATTACGTGACAGACCAACCTTTCACGACTTTATAAATTTTATTGGCATGGTGCTTCGCTACGCGCACGCTGCGAGCCGCGCTTTTACTCACATTTATCGTAATTGTTTGTCATATAAAATGGATTAGAAGTAGATATTCGAATTTAAGAGATCCTCGCAGCTAAGAACATCACTGAACTAGTTGTTGAAAATAGGACCTGAAAAGATTTGAACCCATGACCTCTGCGATACCGGTGCAGCGCTCTACCAACTGAGCTTAACAAGCGAACTGGGAGCTGGTCAATATTTTGGGTCCAAATAAACCATCCAAGTCATGAATAATGATTTTAGATATATGAAATTCATATATTTGCACTGCGGTGAAGAAACGAATTTAGGAGATCCTCGCAGCTAAGAACACTACTGAACTAGTAGTTGAAAATAGGACCTGAATTTTTTTCCTTCATTTCATTTTCATTTGGACCCAACATATTGACCAGTAGAAAATACCGTTAATCAACTCTTTTCGAGGCACTCCAAAACTATCCAGTTAATCCAGCCTTTTTTACGCATAAATTTAAATTTTAAAAGCATGTCCTTTTTTACGTTTTTTTCTCCCTCGTCTAATGGTGATTCATAACAGCTTATTGTCTATACCAACTATTTTATAGTGTAACTAGAGATGTTATTTGTTACTCCATGTACATCGATGGAGACAGACACAAACAAAAAATTCCCTACAGCGGAATGAAACTGGCGCAGAAAGAGTCAATTGGAGGAGTCTCACGTTTTATATCGTGGGCAAAAAAAAGTATCTTTTAACATCATTTTTGTGTAAAAATTGAAAGTTTTTTTTACTTAATTGGTCCGTTTTAGAATCATTTTTATTATAGAGTCCCATCTCAGTAATGCATTAAGCCTTATAAAGCCACTGAGATACTAGGCACACTTTCATTGGTCGATAACCAGCGTGTTTTGACGAGAGTATGTCAACACCTACAATGCTACATGGATTGGTATTTTTTGCTAATTATGTTTAATGGAATGCAGGGGAAGGTCTTTTCTGTTTAATTAAAGAGCCTCATATAAACATTAGGTTGGTTTGGAGAATTCCTCAAAGTTATGCAAACCTTCGACTTCGTCTTGGTATACACAATTGTCACGAGTTCACCCAGTCCTCCAGATTATTTAGATGAGGCTATATGTAAATACGGAAAATTTCTCTATTGATTAGATTGTTTTCAGTTGTCGTTTAGGTGGAATTAAAATTTGAAAAATACTCACTGACGTGCGACAAGATGATAATAAAAAGTTGTGCAGTGATAAATTATGATACCTTACTAACAATTCCTCGCGTGTGTTAGGGAGCTATCGCCACCATTTCAGTGGCAGTAGCCCGGATGGAACATCGCAATGCAAACGCAGTTAATCGATGTTCATGCATTCGGGATATCCATTCGTGTATTGCTGTCACATATGATTGCACGTAAGATTCTGACTGAGTATCTAACCGTACAAGGATTGAGTCGTTGTGATCGTTCGCAAAACTCAATAAGAATAAGTAAATAGGAACTGGGGATATTTCTTTGCTGTTTGGGGCGAGGAATCAACTCAAATTTATCGAACGCATTTAAAATGTCTCCCTTGTTCCCGCTGGTGATAAAGGCCGTCAAAAGAAGACTTCGACTCCGAACCAATAACAACATCTTGCTGGCCTGTTTTTAGTGGTGACTGATGTATCAACTGGTCTTTTTGGCCAGCCATCGTAAATATTCTTTCACAACACCTCATCACTGGGATTTTAATTAAAAGCAAACAACTGTTTGATGGTTGTAAGTGATAGATCACTTTGTCTTTTCAGGCCTTATTTTCACTACTGCTCAAGTAGTGTTCATTACTGCAAAGATCGTTTTCGTATTCATTTCTGAATCAGCAGTTCACTTACATGACGATATAACTCCGTATTGTTTGAGTATTATTCCAACATGCATTTTAAACGCGAGTACCCTTAAACATAGCAAGCAATGATTCTGATATTCTGGTCGGTCATCGTGTTTCGTAGTGGCGTCTTCAACCTTTTCATCGAACTAAAGCGCTCAGCAGCGCATGCCGATACGGGATACGTCAAGAGCGTTTTTACCGCTACATAGATTCCTGGGTAGAATGCAGCATTAGCTACATCTAGAGTTTCTACCAACGTCTGTGGGAGAGGATCGGTTGGCTCCCTGATAGACCAGCGGTACCTCCATCTGTGATGTCATTTACCTGGGATAAGGAGCTGAGCCTCGAAGCCTGGTTGTGGCACCACGAGCTTTTCATTGATCTCTGTAACGAGGTGATCTAGAAATGGCAAATACATTGCCCTTTTCCAATATGCTGATGGAGTATCCGCTGGAACGTTGTTGTGATGTTGTTGCCTTCCTGCCGTTCTTGGCGATGATGGATCAATGCCGTAATCCGAGGCGATTTCTATAGCCTTTTCCATCAAGGCCTCCCAAACAGCATCGTCATTTCGCTCGGCATTAAGAACAGAGAAGCAGGTTTTTGCTTCTTCAGAGGCTTGAATCAATTCGAGGTCAGGGCTCTGGGTACAAAAAAAGGTTTTGATTCTTAGTAATGTAGTAAATGTAAAAGTCAAAGATATATTATCATTTGATCTCACTTGAAGGCATACCGGCAGCTTGTTAGTATATTCAAAAAACAAGAGTAATAATGCAGTCCCATTTCAGAATAGACGCGTAGAACGCTCTGGCTTTGCTATCACCTTCCTCGCTTAGCTGGTCCAACGTGTCGACTATAACCTGAAAATGAACATTGATGGATAAGCAAAATGTTCCATTGTATTTAGCTCATAAAAGATGGGCTATGATTCAGATTATTAATATCAATTAATACCTTGAAAGCGTCGAAGAAAACTGCCTGGCAATCTGCTCTGGAGGCCCAGCGCGTTTCACAAAGCACCTTCAGCTTTGAGCGTCTTCCCATTTCTTCTCTAGCAACAGGATTGTCTCCAAGTTGTTCTTTAAATACAAACAAACGTTTTGCAGAGAACTTAAAGGCCAACGTAGCTTCTTGCATGGTATCCATGATGTTTCTCACAAGTGGAAGCTTTGATGCATGGACAATACAGAGGCTTAACATGAGGTCGACAATGGATATAAACAGCATTTGGATTTACTTCACGAATCCATGTTTGCACACCACTCACGTGCCCACTCATCATATCCTTGGGCTCTCATATCATTCACTGAAAAACCGACGCTCTGGATGGTCTCTAGCAATTTTGTTGTGAGTTCCTCAGCGTTGCTTCCTTTGTCTGCATGTACAAAAGTAAGGAATTCTTCACTTATGAGATGTCTCCCGTCCTCTTTCCTGCCAACAAAACGTATACAAATAGAAATTTCCTCTTTATTTGTAACATCAGTCGACTCATCAGCAATTAATGCATAAATGACAGATCTCTTGCAATTGTCAATTAAGCCATCGAGAATCTACTTTGCTGAAAAAAAGATGATCTCGTTCTTGATATCCGGACATGTATACTTGGAAATCCGAGGTGCGTTTTCTAGGTGCTCACGCAGAACTGAGTTTTCTTTCGCCAATAGAGACAGCATCGCCATAAAATTGCTATCTTCGTCTTGGAGACCTCTGATAGCTATGCTTTGCTTCCCCATCATAACTAGGACCTCTGTTATACACTTGAGAATAATTCTATTCCTTCTAACTTGTTCCGCTCTCTGAGAGTGAAGCTGTTGACAGATGTTAGGTGCACCACCTCGCTACGTGTGCAGAAACGCTTCCCCGCGAGCAACTGCAGTGTGATGAGCACTTTTTTTCGCAGACATGCTTCTTCACTAGTTTAGAAATATTGGACCAATCACGAGTAGAAAGAACGATCATGGGTGATGAATAATAAACAGTAACAACAGTAAAGGGTGTCTGTATCTCAACCAGGGTGTTCTTGCAGTGATGTCGAGGTTTATCTTTCTATTCTTTCCGGAAATGTTTCTAAAAATATACAAGTAAGGCCAATTACTAAATTTTTCTAACCATGCTTAGTGACGTTATTAGCTTATCAGTTTTCATTGAAGAATTCACACCATGGCAAACCGTGGAGCAATAATTCAAAACTTGTATTCAAACCTTAAAGGAAAGCTGTATGCAACAAATCAGCGCTATCCCATCTTCCTTCTCGCAACCTTCTCGCTGTCAGTGAGTGCCTTCACTTGGCCACTTTCAGTTAAACTCTCAGGATAGAGAGGGCCATTCTGTCTGAATTAACTTGTATTAGATTCTTCCGGGAAAATATCTTGTGGGGGTGCCGCCACTGCTTGAGAATTTTCTGTAAAATCATCGTATACAATATTTCTGAGTAGAGATTTGACTACACGGCCAGGCAATACAATCGAGCAGCTTACCTTCTTCATCGTTAGATCCACTATTTTCGTCTTCGATGACATTGAAAAAATCTTTGATGGATCTTTTTGACATATTATGTATCACATCAAAGCAAACCGGAAAGATCGATGGGTTCGAATCTATTCTATAGTCAGAGCTAGCGTGACTGGAATTGTCAACAACATTCTCGGAACGTCGCTCCTTTGTCAAGAACGTTCTTGGAACGTCGCTCCTTTGCAACTTCGCCTTTTTGTTACACGCTGGCCAAACAACACTGCATTGTTTAGTAAAAAAAAGTACCATGCAAAACTAAGTTAGAACATGGTATAGCTTTTGTTTTAGCTTTTAGAATTTAATCAAAGTGATGTTTTCATCACGAAATCTTGGTTGCGTACAAGTAAAATGTTAAAAATAGAAACAATTGCTAAAAATGTCAACATTTTCTGGTCACTTCAGGTACGCACGTGCGTATATGCGTATATACGCGCCTGCGAACTATAAATGAAGGTTGCGAAAATGCCCATATACCCTTCCCCCCCCCCCCCCCCCCCCCCCCCCCCCCAGACGATAAAGCTAGGGACAGGATATTAGAATACTGTTCATCTGACTGGTTTCAAATCGTTTTATTTCAGAATATTCCATAATATTTTTACAATCTATTGAAAAGAAATAAATGAATAGTCGGTATTACTTCTGGACTCGTGTCGCAATATAATGGCGCCTTTTCAATTTATCCACAAGCCAAGCGAGTGGGCGTTTCATCTCAGTACATCCACTCGTTAG